GAACTGCCACGCGGGCCGAATCAAAGCCTTAGGCAGGCCGGGTCCAGACCACTGAGAAGCCTTTGCCCATCCTTGGATTACAGGATAGGGTCCGTTAATAGTATCAAGCTGCACAGAGCCTAATGCAATTTGAGCATGGCCTTGAGAGAATTAAGCACAGCTCTGTTTCTGCACACGCACGCGCGCACACACTAGGAAAAAGACTGTCTGAGAAAACTATTATTCTTAATGTGGGGTAAGTTTCATTTTTAGCAGAAATGATCCTATCGAAAAAGCCTGTTTTAAAGAGTTACGCTGTTAATGCCGATGTGACTGTTTCCACAGCACCGTCAGACCTACAGAACTGTTTTGACAACATGAATTAAGGGTTTTTTAGATAAATGCAGGTGTCAAGACATGATTGAATGAACAAGACTTAAGAATAAATTGACACTCATGGAAAAACAAACCGGAGGAGAGAGAGAGAGAAAAAAGATGTAACTAGAAAGAAGAACCCAAAACCCAGCCTCCACCCCCCACCTTCTTGCTCTGACTTTGTTGAAAAAACAGCTATGAAAACAATTAGAATGACAGGTGAAGGACAGGTAGTAGTTATAAGAGTCTGCAAAAAATAGAGTTGTTGAGGTGCTGCTGCTTAAAAATTTCAAGGAAGAAGAGAGAAGCACCATAATGAACAGTGTAGATATTCCAGTGACTCTGGGCGACAGACTCATGGGAGAAATGTGCAAATAAAGAGAAGAATTAAAACTACCCCACTGAGACTAACACTAGTGAAAAAAAATCCAGAAAAAGTCTATGACCTGGTTAAATAAGAAATAATCGTACGCTTGGGGACTGATTATTAAAAGGAGTTAACATCTCTTTGACAGCGAGATCTAGTTTATAATTTCCTCCACAATATGAAGAGTACTTTTTGTAGGGTGGGTGGGATTTTTTTTGTTTAAAATGCGCATTTTAGTGATCCCTCCTTTTCACCTTTCTGCTTGTGTGTCAGTCCTATGCAGTGAGCCAATCCATATGAAGAATGAAGGCAGACTAATAACCAGAACTTCCTGTTCAGAGTTAGAAATGCTGGGTAGTCGATGGAAAACGAATGTAAATTTAGCTAAAATTTGGGGAAATTGTCAATCATTTAAAAATAGAAAATGTGTTGAAGTGGATAAGGAGGTAAACAGTACTAAATAAATTAACAAGTGAATGTTACAAACCTCTCCACTTGGCACGATTCTGAATAGACAACCATGAGATACAAGCATAGTTTCTTCTACTTACCTACCTGCCTACTTTTAGTGATACCTACATATTTCTACAGTAGAAATGACCGTCTTTCTTAGAAGTGCATAATCATAGACTCATAGGACTGAAAGGAACCTCAAGAGGTCATCAGTCCCCTGTACTCATGGCGGGACGAAGCACCATCTAGACCAAGCCTACTCAACTTCGGAAAGCCCGAGGGCCATAATGGTAGAGCGCATGCCGAGAGCCGCAACTTAAGTGTGGTTGCATATACATGTAAATATATATGTAAATATATGCAAACAACTTCTTTCACATTGACGGGCATGAATAGAAAGATTAAGGCAACACTACACAACACACAGGCCTCATTTAAAGTCAGTTCCGCTGATATTAAAAAAATGCAATAGTTACCCAATTTCCACCCATATGACAACCATTTTAATGAGCCATGACAATCCAGGAATTTAACTACTAAAAGGCGTATCAACAGAAGATAATTATATTGATGTGCTGTTGTGGAGCATGTTCCCAGTGGAGACCATGGTCAAAGGAGCCCACCCGCGAGCCAAGTGGTGAATAGCCCTGATCTAGATCATTCTATAGGTCAAACTATATCCTACCAGAGAAACATGATTTGTTTTGTCTTATCACGTTGGTGTTTTTCAAACAAAATCTTCTCATGGAAGCTATCATGAGATATGGGATTTTTACTGCTGTATTCTAGAGCAATGGAAAGGAATTACCTACTCAAATACAGTTCCAGGTGCATTCTGGGAATTGTAGTCATTTTTAATCAGAGCAAGATAAAACTAGATCCTGTTCTTTGGAGCAGGTTCAAATTTGGAGTACCTTTAAATGGGGCTAAAATTGAACGTAACTCAGAAAGCTATCTATGCAAAAATGGCACTTTCTTGCTCCACAGATACATTCTGTGTATGCAGATAGGGCAGTGAATTCTGTTCATTTCCTACATCATCAACTATTAACTAGATTCCAAGAGCACGACTGGATTTCAGTTTAATTTTCAGTTTAATTGATTCCTGGGCAACCCCACTCTGAGCAAAATTTGAATTGGGCCATGCTCTGTCTAGGAGCAAAATTTGCATAGGAGAATCAAACTGCATAAGATCTGTCCTGGAAAGAGTAACGTTTGATCCTCAGTCTTTGCTACCCATCATACATGAAAAGCAGAGGGTTCCAGAATCTAGTGTGAGTTGGCAGAGCTGGAAGTTACATAACCCAATTTGTCACTTGTATATTGATTCCATTTTCTTTGGCATTTGGAACTCTCAAAACATGAAACTTCCATGATTTCTCAATGGGCTCAGATACACGAGCACAGCCACGCTGTTCGCTGTTAACTGCATTTGATTATTGCTGGCCATGTCAGAGCCAAAACAGAACCCATATTCATTCAGCTGGGCTGTGGCTACTCTTTGCCAGATCACTGGCCCAGCAGGCCCTAAAGCTGGCATCGATAGCCACAAAGAGCAGGGAGTTTGTCCAGCATCATAGAATTGATATAATGGCTCCCACTCAATTCCGTCTCCCTCCAGGTGGTGCGAAGCTCATGACCCAGGAAGGAGGGTGTGGCCTGGATTTTACTGCTTCCCGGTAATCCTCAAGTGGGGTATTGGCTCTGTAGGTGCAGTAGTAAATTATAGAAGTTAGAATAGCCCCAAGGCTGCCCTAGCCTACTCTGGGGGACTGGTTCAGGCCCAGAATTAACAGTACACAAAGGCGGCTCAATGTTTTCCCCCCACCCTCACGTGTGTGTGCTCCATGGCAACTGAACTGAGTGATTGGCAACACGGGAAGTCACAGGGGACAAAAACAACCCATCTTTTTGCAGACTGATCCAAGTGGACATTAAATCAGCGAGAGAAGAACCAACATTTCACCCTGAGGCACCTCTAGAGAGACACCAGTCTATGTCCACACTTTAGCACCGATGATTCCAATGTGTATTAAATGAGCAACACCATTCCATCTTATCAGCTTTAGCTGCCTGGAATGATACCATACTTCAGAGCAGCCCCGACGCAGATCAGGCACCAGACATTGCAATGCTTTGGGATTGCCGAATCACTCTGCAATACTAGACCATTACAAACCTTCCTGCCAGGGCCACACATTATTTGCCGAATCACTCTGTAATACTAGACCGCTGCAAACCTTCCTGCCAGGGCCACACATTAAAAATATTGACGGAGGGCCCAGTCTGGCCAAGTGACAAGTGGGGTGAATTCCGTGGGACCTACAAGTCATCAACGCCTCAAAGGAAGTAGGGTGTGAAGCTCAACGTCCCCTTTCAGGCCATTAATTTTTATTTGGAAAAAATGTAGCATGTCAGGCACAGTGTATTTAAACCCAGTTTCAGTCCTCACTGAGTCCCTCCAAATGTTTAGCAAAAATGAGAGCTCTGGCACATTGTAATGCAAACTACACATTTGAAGCAGCATTGCTAGGTTCTTACTTGGGCCCATATCACTGTTGTATCTAAATACTGACTAATCATTCACAGATAATATCCTCCCAGCCTTCCCGTGAAGTAGGCAGTACTGTCCCCATTAATTAGTGTGGTACTGAGGCAGAGGGTCGATTAAGTGTCTTGCTCAAGACCATCCTTCAACAAGTCAGGGCCTGGGATGAGCTCTCGTGTCCATAGGTGACTTGTGGGAGCACTCGAAAGGTGCATCACCCCCATGTTCCCTGTCCAAACTTTAATTGCTCAATGCAGTACCCTTCCCTGTTCCTCTAGGTGGCCCTTTCTGCCCCCTCCCACAGACACCAGTCTCCTAGATCATGTCACTGTAACTGCACCGGCCACATGGATTTTTTTTCTTCAGATTTTCTTGTTCTTTTGAAGTACATCTGCACTGAACCCTCATGTGTTAAGATTCACCCTGGAGCCAAATTTCATGGAGCTATATGCCCAAACAAGGATATATATTTAGGAAAATACAGATATATCTATCACTAGAACCATGGTTTGTGATGGAAAAAGTGGAGAATTTTTCTACTTGGCCCTGGGTAAATGATGGCTAAACTAGGGATGTTATATTTTGATTAATTGACTAATTGGCAATTTGCATCGACTATTCGATTAGTCGATAAGGGCGCCTCCACCTTTGAAGCGTAGCAACAGCCCCATGGCTGTTGCCACACTTCGAAGGTGAGAGCACTGTAGGGAGCACTGGGCCAGCGGGGCAGTCCTCCACTGGCCCGATGCTCCCCGCAGCGTTTCAAAGAGGCAGTGTCGCGTGGAGTCCGGGATCAGCTGGGGACCCAGGCTCCATGCAGCACTGCCCCTTTGAAGCACCTCCTCTTCTTCTCCCCTCCTCCCCCGCCACCTTGCTGCCTGTTTCTGATAGAGACAGCAAAGGGAGGGGGATGTCTAGAGTGTTGACTCTCTGATAAGCATTTGCTTATCAGATAGTCGACTACTCCCTAGTCTAAACACACCCCATGTAATACAGCAAGTCTTATTTACTATAGCTTTTTACACGTAAATAAAAAAGACTTCAGATAAATCCCCAGTTTTTCAAGCTATGAATATTTAAATCTCCATGCTGTCTGGAATTAGTATCCGATCCCATATCTGATAACCATGCTGAAAAGTAAAGTAATTTGTTTAATCAAGCCTCAGTTTTGCAAAGGTATTTCCACCAAGATCTGTGTGGCGTGTTTGTCTAGTCAGATTGGCACGCATGCTTTACTCTATCAGCTGACTAATTTAGGCAACTGATTTTTCTGTGCAGGAATGTAAGCCAAAAATGTGGAGAAGCATCATAATTCAGAAAGGAAACACTCTTTTAATACCAGAAGTCCAGGAAGAAGATGGAGGAAATTATACTTGCGAACTGAAGTTCGAAGGCAAGCTAATACGAAGAACAATTCAGTTAAAGGTCACAGGTAAGAAACTGCGGATACAACGTGAGTTCTAAAATGAAGAGAAGATGGCTTCTCACAGTAAGAACGGAAGCCAATCCCAAATGTTGGGAAATTCAGATCAGGCTCCACACAAAATATTCACATGTTATGTAAAGATAAAACAGGCTTGAAAGGGCCAAAACAAAAATCTAGATCCAGACACCACAAAACATTGGAGGTTGGGCCCATATCTGGATTAGATAAGAGCACAATGGCTGCATAACTTTTATCTTCTGATTCATTTTTGGTTGTCAGATCCTATGTTATAGGCCCCTTCTTCAATGAGGACTTCAGGTCACCTCTTCCAAGAATAAAATTAAAAAGCAAATATTATACTCGAACGCTGTCGCTCAGTCGTTTCTTTTTAGTATGCTGTGAATCTATGTTCACAAGAGCGTTAGTAAGAACAGGAATGAAAGTGCAGGACGGCACAATGTACCCTTTCATTCCTGATTTCTTTCCATTTCCTTTTCAGTAATTATTATATTGCCACCAGCAAGCATCTGAAATCACTGTTTTCCTCTAGTTCTCCACCTGGTAACTTTGGAGGAAATGTTTAGAAGCATAGAGAACCAAATCCAGCCCGGACAGAAATAATGGCAAAATCAGTAGAACTGACCTGTTTACACCCGGCTCAGTTAGGTCATACGCTATTAACATGCTTTCAGAAGAACATTGTTCAAATTATTACTTTAAGAAGCGACAGGTTGTACCTCCAAAAAACAGCGTCCTCTGGGCTGGCAACATCTGTGGTCTAGCAGGACCACAGATGCTCCGGGAGCCCAAGGGCAGGAGAGCCAGCCAGGGCGGGGCAATGGGGCAGTGTGAAGCGGGGCCAGACTCCCCCAGCAGCCCTCAGGAGTGTGAGGCTGAGGCTGGTGTCCCACGGCAGCGCAGGGCCAGAGTCTCCTCACAACGGGGGGAGGGATAGCTCAGTGGGCAAGCAGTCCAGTCAGGATTAGGGGATGAGGGTGAGGCAAGGCAGAGGTAGCCTGCCAGCAGAGGGCGATGGGGCTGGTGGCAGGAGACCTCGCCTAGTCGGGCAAATTCTCTCGTTCGGGACTGGTCAGGTCCCGACGGTGCCGGACCAGACCAGGAAGGTCCAACCTGTACAATGATTTACACAGAATCATTTACCATTCGTGATCACTGCCCCTCCTTTAAAATGAATCTCTTTCACAGGATGTCAGCATCCTACAGTATCTGATTATTTGTAGTCTGCTTTTGCCCGTGGATTGAGCTCTGTGTCATCATCAGTTTGACCAACCTGAACCAAATGCTATCAAATGAAAACATTGGCCCTTCCTTGGAAGCGCTTGCTGCACCAGGTAGCCTGCTGGTCTTCAGTCAGAATGCTGACATAAGATACATCTAGACTAGCATTCACTTTTGAAAGGAGATATGCGAATTCAGCGCTAATTTGCATATCTTTTTCTGATCCCTTTTTCGAAAGTGTTTTTTTCAAAAGCGAAAGCAGTTTAGACATGGTTCATTCAGAAAAAAACACGCCCTTTTTTCGAAACAACCTGTAAACCTCAATTTTTGAGGAAAAGGGTTTTTTTTCCGAAAGAACCATGTCTAAACTGCTTTTAAAAAAAACTATGCAAATTAGCACCAAATTTGCATATCTCTTTTCAAAAAAAGAATGTAGTCTAGACGTACCCTAAATGTGACTGGGAAAGGTACATCTATATCAATCCCATGGTGGAGGTTCCTTAGCTTACAGATTTGTCTGCTCTCTCCATCCCCTCCAGCATCTGCAAAACCTTGTTAGCGATTCGCTATCTGCGGGCTACACAACATGTGCGGTACTTTAGATGATAATGGTTTTGTGCTGCACCTGTTGTAATATCCTGTTAAAAGGGTTTATGACCTGAAGTATTAACTGTGGAAGGAAAGTGATTGGCATGTTTGCAATGAGGGGAGAATGACAGGTTTGCCAGGCCTCTGGGCAAGGTGCGGAGGGAGGTGACTCCAAGGTCTCTCAGGGGCGGCCATCCCTCAGTACTACCCGGAGCGTACCACATGGATCCCCAACCCCCTGCTATCCCTCGGAGCCACCCACAGCATGCCTCATGGTGCTCCTCTGGTAACCAGGAACCCCAGGCCATTTTGAATTGCCAGGCCCTAGAGCAATTATCCCTTTCCACCCTCTTATCAGCGGGCCTGCTTTCAATTTGATGTGCAATTTGTTATATGCTCCTGAATGTACGACAGGTAAAGTATTCCATGCTAATGTATGGAATCAGCTTTCTGGCCATAGCTGCAACACAACAGTCATCTCCATGTATAAACAGTTAGAAATCTATATGGGCTTCACTGTTGCCTGGTCTGTAGATTATGTATTAAATTATATAGATTACTTAAGAACCGCCAGCTATCACTTTGAGGGCTCATAAATCCTTGTCCCAAGATCAAGTTTAGACATAAGAACATAGGTGCAACACTCACGCACTGTGAGAACTCTTATTTTTACGTATATCGTTTATTAAAATGTTTAGCCCAGTCATACACACAGCCCCAGCTCAGTAAGACGGAGACACTACAGAATGTCCATCTGTACCTCCATCCCTCCCACCATCCTTTGCTGAAAAGCCTGAGGTGTTAGCCATCAGCGTCCTCCTCGCTGTCACCTTTCCCACCATAACCAGGGGCCAAGGACTGCATCTCCTTCTCCTGCCGCTCCAGGCCTGGCCTTTATCATCTGTTATGCTGCTGCTGTTATGTTTGGTGCATATTCAGTAAGGCTACGTCTACACAGCTTCCTTCTTCTGCAAAAGCCCATGCAAATGAAGCACGGATTAGCATATTCATTTGCATAATTAATTAGGAGCTGGTTTTGTGCAAGAGGTTTTTGCGCAAAAAGGCGCCATCTTTTTGCGCCAAAAAACCCTCTTGCACAAGAGCCGTTCTTCCTTATTTTTTCAGGAAGAATGGCTCTTGCGCAAAAACGGCTCCTAAACAATTATGCAAATGAAGCATGGCAATATACTAACCCGTGCTTCATTTGCATATGCTTTTGCAGAAGAGGGAAGCTGTGAAGACGTAGCCTAAGAAATGCCGTTACGCCTATTACTTTTCAGGAATAGGTTGCGCAAGAGGGTTTTTCTTGAGCAAGAAGGGGCAGTGTAGATGCTCCTTCTTGTGCAAGAGCCTCTTCTGAAAAAAATGGTGGCCCATTAGGTATGCAAATGAGCCTCAGCAATATTCCACGCTTAGCCTCATTTGCATATTACTTGCGCAAGAAGCCGCGAGTGTAGACATAGCCTGGGTGTTGGTTAATTTATATTCCACCCCTGTGAAATATACTTTGGAGTTAATACCATGGTAACATAGAAACCTGATTAATGGTTAAGTGATATGGCCACTTGGCTTTTCCCCTTCATCTGAGGTATCTGAAGTCAAGTACTGTGGAATAAAGAAGAAACTAAACAGATGCTGCTTTCAGTGTGTGTGTGTGTGTGTGTGTGTGTGTGTGTGTGTGTGTGTGTGTGTGAGAAAATTTGGAGAAAACTGAATTTTTGTTGTAAGTTGTACATCACTTTATTATTTTTGTACTTTTTACACCCAAAAATTTCATTGCCTGCCCGGCTACTATTAGGTTGTTTAAACAAATGTGTTGCAATGGTAGAAGAAAAATGTGTGTGTCTGAAAACTGTAGGTACAGGGGGTACTTATATATAAAACTAACCGCTGCTTCTTGTAGGTGGCCTGTTGCCTTCAAAAAGGGGAGGCATTAGCAATTTGATAATGGAGTCCAGATCTCTCTACTGTTTTTCACTAACCATAATGGACAAGAGCCCATGTTGCACATAATTATTTGAAGGCCATGGAATAAATCTAAATTTCCTTCAGCAAAACAGGGTCCAACTCCCCTCATTTGCTGTCTGCTAGACTGATATTACCTTAGTGAAATATATATATTAAATGGGGTACTTTATTTAAAAAAAAGTTGAGAAACATTGTTCTAGACTGTAAGCTCAATGAAGCAAGGACTGTCTAGTAGGATATGGCCATACAAGGCTTAGCACAATAGGACCCAAGATGTCTGTGGCCTTTTGGTGCTACCATAGTGTTCAGAGAAGAAACAGACTGTTGATCATCCAGACTCATGCAAAGTTCACTAATTTTTGGATGTTTTTTCCCCCCCGTTGTAGTTAATTTTTCCAAAGAGTTGGCCACTTCGTGCTTAAGAAACTAGATGTGTCCTTTTAAGGTGAAACCTCTTTCCACTATGAAAATTTCCCAACTCTTGAATGGCTTCTTAAAAGCCACCCACTTTTACAGACTATAAGGGGGAACTTACCCCACCCCAGACCCATCGGGTCTGATGACAAAGAGCAAGAACATTTCAACCATAGCAGATACACAGAGGCATAGGATGGACAGTGTTCTCGGATTGTCAAAATCCGGAGGTGAAGGGCTTTATAAGCTGAACATCTGAATTGCAAGTGGCAGAGATGGAAGGCCAGGGCAAAGCGCGGCGCACAGGATATATGTACATAGGTTCAGGTTAGGTTGACAGACTTAATAAGCCAGTAGCCATATTCTGCACTGGCTGAGACTTCTAAGTGTTGTTCAGGGGTATCTCCTATTGGACTGTCTTTCAGTAAATCACCCTGCAAATGACCAACGCATAGATAACTGTGACAAGGTCCAGATGACTCAATGGCCTGCATTAACCCCACCTGGGACTCTAATGTTTGCAAATGAAACATCTGCATCGTGTAAATGTTCCCCATGGAGAACCAATGGCAGCAGCCTCTGCTCCGAAGAGGAAGCAGTCACAGCCTTCATCAATGCCTCTGGTCCTTTCCTCCGTACTTAACAGCATAATCGTAATCTTCCATAACCTGGATGGAATTTAACCCAGCTTTCATCAATGATCCTATCACAGGCCAGCACTGAGAAAGCAATGCAGGATCTGAGTTTGAAGGAAAAGAGATTCAAATCTAAGGACACTGAGGTGATTTCTGTGCAAA